ACTGATTATTATTATTATTATTAATACTATTATTATTATTATTATTATTATTATTATTATTATTATTATTATTATCTGAGTTCCGAGTGGAACATAGGGCTTCAACAGCACATCTCCATTTCACCCTGTTTTCTTCCCTCGCCTTTTTTCAGACTTAAGGTCGATTAGTAAACTAGGCCAAGTGGTATGGGTAATTTGTTTCGTCTAGTAGATAAATCACACAATGAAACAGTACTATTTACTGGATGACATTTTGAGCACAATTTCTGTTCACATTGATTTCAAAAGTGACTCCCAAACTTTGGAACCTGCTTTTTAATAACTTTAATTCTTTACCTTAGTTTTTTGCAGTCGTAGTGGAGTTTTTAATCCTGATGCATATATTCTTAGTCGATCTGATAGGCAAACTTTCTGTTATCAATCTAAATATCAGTGTGTAGCAAAGCTGAGAAAACCATTAATATGATTATGAATAATAAGCTGTTTAAAACGTCAGCCAGCACATAATACTATTTTACTTAATGTGAATCTGCTGGACAGGATAATAATATTGGGTGAAAACAACTAAATTGTTGTTGAAGTGTGCGTACGGCTGACTGATTTATGCACTACACTCTAGGGACTCTTCAGTTATTTTCAGTGAAGAAACTGCCTAATTAATATAATTCATCATACTGGTCCCTATATACTATATACATACATATATATAGAAAAACAAAAATTAACTAAAATCAAAACATTGAAATGACGTAAAAGGCTCGTCTGTCTTTTGCAAATACAACAAAAAACATGTATAAAAATATATATATATTGAATTTACTGGTATCCAGGTAATGTCCTTGAAATAAAGATAAACAATTAACCCTTTTCTCGAGTTTGACCACGGATTGATATCAGTTAGAGAACCACTGGAAGTCAGCGAATACTGATAGACAGCTGTTTCTTCCTAGTTTAGGAATCATCGACAGTGCGCATCCATGGTCTAACCTGAAACAAATAGAATCCCTACAAACCAAGTCTTGAAAATTAATCTGATGCTCACTAGTGACCGGCTACAGGATGAACATTCCTGGAGTTCTAATGAGAAGCCGTGACCAATGAGGTTCATCCAGTAGGGAGTGAACATGGAGTTCCCTCAGATGACACTGGTTGATGGTCGCGCCAAATGGACCACGAGTCGGTAGAAGTTAGAATTCATGGGCTAGCCATTGAGAAGTCGGGTCCCAGTGGCTGAATGGTATACGAGCTCGCCTTGTAACCAGAAGGTCTTGGGTTCTAACCCCCTACGGTGGGTGCGTACTGCCGATGATTTCCAAACTAGGATGAAGCAGTTGTCTAGCAGTACTCCGTAGTTTTCAATGCTTCTCTAACGGATATCAATCCGTGATTAAACCCGAAAAAAACAGATCTAATTCTTACAAACCAACCCTTGAAAATTACATATTTGCTAGATGAAAGCAGAGTGTTGTCTTATCTTTAGATTTAATTCATTTTCATTTATCCGTTTATCACTACCTGGATTTTATACAGTGAAGAGTATGGAAAAAAAGTTTTGTCATGTTTCCAGCCTAAAGAATTGTAAGAAGTCGATGAAATACCTTCAGAATACATACTCTTTGAACTTTAGTAACTCCCATCATCTTTTCACTGTGATCTTGTATAAAAGTCATATTTAATGCACATAACACTAAAAATATGTGAAATTATCTTGTATTATGATTTTATCACATACACTTGTTTTCAACCATGATAATTTATAATTTACCATATAAGCAATCTCGAAAACCCATATTTATTCATAGACTTATCTAATTTCTTGACATTACTCATTACTCAAATCCTTATGAACGATTCGCAAGGCCTTTACTACAATCATCAGAGATATGTTCACCTCCTGGTGAGGTCAAGACTGGAAAAGTGTATCCAGACAGCCAGTCCTTGTCTTAAAGAGGATCCACATATTCTAGAAAGGGTTCAAAGGAAAGCAACACTTATGATTCCTAGCATGACTGATTTACCATGTGAGGAAAGACTAGACAGTTTAAATCTCTTCCCCCTATCATACCTTAGGCAGAGAGGAGATTTAATTACCATGTTTAAAAATTTTAAATAATGACTGCGGACCTGACCTATTCTCTCTTTTCCTTTCCACCAGGTTGGTACACCTTAGAGGACATAGCAGGAGAGTTCAAAAGCCAAGCAGAAACCATACTGCTGTGGAGTACTGGTTCTCACACCAAGTTATAAACTCTTAAAACCGACATCCAGGAGAAGTGGTGTCTGCAACTACAACTGATTCATTCAAAAAGGACTAGGACAACCACAGAAATTTACTAGAAAAGGATTAACATAGGCTTCAAGCCTCCTTTCCTCAATCAACAAATGTGAATCCGAATCTGAATACTCATTTCGTAGATGACTTTACTAAATATCTACATATTTTTGTGTAGAAAAAGTAGATTTCCATTTGAAATTTTTTCTTACAAACAAAACTCTGTCCGACTCAAATGAATTTCTCAGTTTGTTCTGTTTATATGAATACAAATGATTTCAAAGAAGTTCATGTCATGAAAAATGAAAGTGTTACTCGATAATTATTTGCATCCTCATGCATTTGACAACCTACCACGCCTATTCCATGAAGGTTAATGGATATTAACTCACTATTTAAGCTTAAGTAAGTGTTACGAAATTCAAACTAGTGACCTAGAGGTTGGAATTCGAGTGCGTAAATCAATGAGACAGCTCCACCTTGGCTGTCTAAATCATTGTAGTTATAAAAACGCAATGTTTAACTTGGATAGAACTCATAATATTATGCCTTACAACACACTTCCAATTCAACACCCAAATATATGCACAGATAAAAGGAAAACCAATGGGATCACCTATATCAGGATTAATAGCTGAAACCGTCATGCAAAAATTAGAATTAATAGCTCTACCTATAATTAAACCGAAAATCTGGGTAAGTTACGTTGATGATACATTTGTAATAATTAAAAGAAATGATTTAGAATATACCCGAAAATTAATAAACAACATATTTGAAGACATTGAATTCATGAAAGAAGAATTAAATAACAAAATCCCATTTCTAGATGTCTTAATCAGGAGAATCAACACAGGAAATTTAGAAACACAAGTATACAGAAAATCAACGCACACAGATCAAATACTCAACTATACTAGCAATAATCCAATTACTCACAAAAGAAACTGTGTGCAGATATTGTTTAAAAGAATTCAAACACACTGTAGCACTCCGGAGTTGAAAAGAATGGAAGAAAAATACCTACAAACGGTATTCAAAAAGAATGGTTATCCACAAAATTTCATCAAAAAGTGTTAAAAATCGAGTCACTACATCAACAAGGAACCATCATCAAATACCGCATGAAAATCCTTCCTACTATACATGAAAAATATCTCTGAAATAACAGCTAGAATACTGACACCGTTTGATATAGATGTAGCACACAAGCCAGCCAGCACGGTCACTTCATTCGATATTATGCAAACTGAAAGATCCAACGGAAAAAGGAGACAAAATTAATACCATTTACAAAATAAATTGTATGAACTGTAACAGGCATTACATCGGCCAGAGGCGGCGTCCCCTTCGAATTAGAGACCAGGAACACAAATCAGCCGTGAAAAGACACAGTATATATTTTTTCGTATCAGTGCATTTAGACAATTATGGACATCAGTTTGATTATGATAATGTCGAAATCTTAGACAGAGGAAACACCGAAACTGCAGTCAAGGGATTCCTAGAAGCCTGATACTCAAACGGATATGCAACTAACAAACACTTTAATATAGACTAAATATACCAACTAATAAAAAGCAGACCAGGTGATCAGAAAGTTTAAAATCCAAGTCAATAGAAAATGGTCAATACATATGTAGAGATGGTTACCGGGAGATGTAATTATATCACTCATGAAAAAATTTGAATCATTTCACTTTATGCTAAAAATTGCGGTGAATAGGGATGTTGTCCAGAAGGACAACGAAAGCTCCGCAACTAAATCAACCAGCTCAGAGAACACTACTAATTGCAGAAGTTTCAATGAATACTAATCTGTTGAATGCCTAGTCTAATGACGTTTTGTGGCATATAAAAGCTGAAAACCATCTGCTTACTACATACACACTTACTGTTTTCATTTCTAGACATATTTTAAGTGGATTAAGTTTTCAACAGTAATTCGGTTGTTGCACACCAGTTTATGACAAAGATTTCTTTGAAACACCTATAACTCATAGATTTCCCTTAGGATTTCAAATGTGAAAAAGAAAGGTAAATGGTACTTAACCACATTATTGCTAGATATTTTGGCAAAATAAAACCAAAATAAAAGCCAAAATTACAGTGACCTTGAAGAACGAATCAGAATTCAGATGCGGAAAAGTCGCACAATCTTTGAAAAGTACACCAGAAAGTATTGCAAACTTCATATTACACTGCATATTTGTAGCTTATATGTTGTAAGAATGTCGCCCGATCAATGCACAGATGATCTACAGAGAAATAGTATATGCGCGTTCACCAATTCATCCAAGTGACTGAAGGTCATGGTACTTCGAAACCCATTGATGTTTTTGGTACTGTTCTTCAACCTATTTCTAACCTTAACCTCAGATCCTAAACTTTAATCTTAAACGTCATTATTTTAGGGTTAGGTAGCTACCTAATGGTATAGATTTGCAGAAAAAGTACAAAGTAAATAAGTAAAATACTTTATTTATCGTCTTCATCCAATCCAAGTCCAAAAATACAGGCATGATTTGATCTGGAATGACATTTTATAGCATTCCCTGTACCTGATCGATCCTTGAAGTTCGACTTTTCAAAGTCCTCTATTTCGGCTACGATAGTTCGTCGATATTTTATAAGAAACTGCGAAATATACGACATCAAAACGATATTAATACTGAACGCTTTTTAAACTGCTCACAGAAATTTAAAAACGAATTGCTGGTTAACTTACTTCACACGCTCAGCAATGTGAGGATAAAGTTCCGGACGCCATGCAGGCATATGAGTTACAACAATGTCTGTATCATCGGGAATATGCAGCCACTGTTTAGAAACGTCCTCAATACTAGGTAAAACAAATCCATTTGTATGGCATGGAGCAGCAGTATCACTGGTAGGTTTGGAAGACGGTTGACCATTGTCCGACTCATTTAATCGTTGACGATCAATCGAAGAATTCAACTTTAGTTTTGTATAATGACTAAAATGTTTCTGTACAAATGCTCCGTCTTCAGGTCGTAAATCATCAGCTGCAGTCCACGGAACTCCGTAAATTGTCAGTCCAAATATTCGACACCATGAATCTTCAAGATAAATGGCGGAGGTAAGGTGAGATTGAATTTTCTCAGGAGTTGGATACTCACCAGATGAGTCTGGATACCACGTTTCCCAACATCCGGGCACAAATATCTTGAAATCATGTGGTTGCTGAGCAAAAAACTTGTCTATTTCTTTAATTTTCTGTTGCCATTCATTATTTGCTGATGAACGACGTTTTTTAAATTGTGGAAGTTTACCACTTATACTTCTACACCATGTTGAAAGCCGAAGACTCAGTGAAGGGGGATGAGATGTAAAGTCTCCAGAATGAATTAAAATATGTCCACGAGGAATATTTTCAGTGAAGGCATCATGTGCACCTCTTGTGTCTGAGATATGTACAATACGAACAACTTTTGCCTTAGGGTGGCCAACCTCTCCAACTACATATACATTTAAATTCCTAGAATTGAGTACACCTGAATTTTGAAGAGGATTGGCACAATAGGACGGCTCGATTTTTGATGCTGAAAATATGATTGAAGATTAAAATAATCCGAACTTCAGGTGATTTACAAGTTTTCTAGGTCGCACAAATGTTTTATAAATGACTATCCAACTGTATTTATGAAAAAAAATTAAGGAAATCATATAAAATGATAGATTATGGACACTGCTTTAATCACGTGGGTATTAATCGGAATGTGATTGGATAATGTATTATTGATAAACCAATCAACGTGACGTGTTGATGTCCAATGCTTCATTAGATAAGAAAAAATGGTCACTAAAACATTAGACCAATCACAATTTAGATTTATGTGCTTTGATGTGTTTAACAGAAGTTTACAACTCAGCAAGCTTAGCATAATTTTAACGAATGCTCCTGAAATAGAGCTGTATTTGGGAATTTATTGCTTTTGGTTGTTACTTTCATTAAACACTAAAAAGTGTTAAAAGCTACACGAAATTAGTCATATCGCTTTCTCTATTCGGTTCCCATTAAAACTTTAAATAGGGCAAGAACCAATAACTATATAGCTTATACAAAAGCCCATTTTATTTCGGTGCATTCGCAACTGTTGAGTACGAAATATACAGGCTAATAAGTTAGTATTCGAGGGATTATAAGCATTCCTATCATATATATTAAGAATGTTCTGGAACAATTTAAAAGCTGCGTTTGAGTGAATCTCCATAGAAGTATGAACAACAATAAAAGATGGTTGCAGTGAAGGAAAAAATCCTTTTCGACGAAGTTGTCAGCCAGGCTGTACATTCGTGAATACATCAAAAAAGTGAGAAAATGGTCAGGTATCAAAATACAATTAGAAATAAAATGAAGTTAACTAATACATGAAGTGATCAAATTAGGAAATTAGAAAGGATGTTAACGGAATAAGAATAACTAAATGACAGTGATTTTTATTCAAAAAGAAAAGTGGTCCAGATGTTCATAACAAAGAAGTATCTCGAACATACCTTTCCGGGAAATTGTGGCCCAATGAAAGGATCTGGTTTCGTCTTGTATGTAAAGACATCCAGCTATAGAAGTTTGTAAGTTATCCATCCCATACTGGCTTTGTATGAATGGGTCTTTTTAATATTCTATCTTGTTCACATCTTCTGAGTTGAACGTTGAATCGGACTCCTCTTCTAGTGTGAACTGGAGAGCTGGATGATAGCTGTAAGAAAAACTATCAGAATGTCTTCCGAATTATCTTCATTATTGGAAGTAATGAAAGTATCATCTAGTATGTTCGCATATTTAGCATATTTTTTCACTTAGTAAGACATTCCCACACAGTGAAACCAAATCTTCTGGGAGCATGTTCTGATCAGAAATGTCGAGATTTTTAACTGCAGTCACTGTACAATCCATTTCACAGTAAAGGAGTCCAATTTTTAAAAATATCGTCTTTAGATATATAAGTTTAGCTTGAAATCTTGGATCAGTAATGCCTTTGTTATATCTGCGTGTCTTGATGTTGTTCCATTTAAGAGCCTTGAATGAACGTGGTATAGAGGTTTAAAGGACACGTACTGCTGAAGACGTTGTAGAATGAAGCAGCTATCGAAAACTCAGGTTTTCAACATTTCTTAAATATAGAAAAAAATCCTCATTTAGACATTTAGAAAACAGAAAGATTGAGTGAAGAAAATCAGTACACATTTAAAAGGTATAAATGGTTAGAATAAATTAATTTTGCAAGGATAACACGTAATTAAAGATGAAGTGGTCTAAATAAATAAAACTAAAATAATTTGGACAATTATAATTTTATAATTTTAAAGGTTTATGGGGGCGAAGTTTGGCTTCTTCACGTGGATTCCTATTGCTTCAGCCGTTATCTGTAGAAGACGAACTCGTAGAGCAAAAATAAGATTAGTCGGAATGCGATAATTCATTTTAAATTCTGTATTAACGTTCACCTTATGCTCACTATCTACAAGGTGTGCTAAAATAGAGCTACGAATAGATCTTGTTTGTTCCTAGCTTAACATGTTGGATGATGTTCGGAAATACGATGGTGAACCTGCCTAATTGTGCGACCAATGTAGCTGACTCCGCAGCTGCAGTCAAACTGGTAGATACACATAGAAGAGGCAAATTTAGGTAGTTTGTCCTTATTTCTCAAACGTAAAATGGAGGTGGTTGTGAGGAGACAAAGTAACTCGGCTGCATAATAAGCTCTTTTAACTGCATTCTTCAGCCGCTGTGTTATTATTTCGCTGATGTTGTCACCGAGGAACTGCAGTTTTATGAACATTGGTTTTTTCGGAACTGTAGCCATACTGATTCTCCTAGGTGCTGAATTCATATTTCTCTCAATGAATTTATCTGCATAACCATTTTTTCTAAGTAATTCTCTAGTAATCTTAAGCTCCTTATTGAGGCAGTCGTCTGAACAGATTAACTTAGCTCTATGAACCAGACACTTTACCAGGTTACGTTTATATTTTAAAGGTACAAAACTCAAAAAATGAGTGCACTGACCTGTTGTTGTAGGTTACCTATACACACTCCTTCTTAGTGTGCCATCTTCTTTCCTTGACATGAAGACGTTTAGAAATGAGATACTGCCATTACTTTCTTTCTCTGTGGTAAAGTTTATTACTGAATGTGCATTATTAAACTTGTCAAGGATGTTCATTGCATCATTCTCGTCTTTCATAACCAGAAATGTATCATCCATATATCGACAGCAGAAATTCATATCATTAATTACTCTTTTCAGTGGCTTATTCTCTAACTTATCGAGGAAAAAATCAGCTAGGATTGGACCTAATAGGAAACCAATAGCTACACCATCAATTTGTCTGTAATATTCCTTATTGAATAAGAAATGAACATTCATTGCACATCTTAAAATAAGTTCTTAAATGATATCATTTCGTCAGCTAACTGGAAACAAATCAAAACTATACATACCAACATTTGAAAATTGTTTATTTTTGTTTATTTATCATAGATTCTTTGCGTCGGTAGAACAGCGGTAGAATACCCACCACTAACACATTAGGCTCAGGGTTCGATCCCCGGTTGACACACTCCTTTACTTTGCTAAGTTAAAAATAAGACTGGTAAAGAGGAAAAGTTGGGCATGAGGCTAGCAATACTATTCTGTGAAAATAAAACACCAGTGCTACTGAAGCTTCAGAGCTGTAGCTTGAAGCTCTTTGTTCCACTGGGAACGTAAAGGAATAAGAAAAAAATTATAGATTTTTGATTCAGAAGAACTACTTTTTTAAACCAATTAAATTTACTGACAAACTTTTAAACATTGCCTTCATTGTAGTGGTGTTTATAGTAGCTGAAATAATTTATAACGTATTCTACCATTAAAAGTTTAATCTTAGCAAGTTCAGATTATATAACTGGAAACTGATAAACTGAAGCTTATGATCCGGTACTTAAGGAGATTATTGTCGTAAAATCACATAGTACCTAGTGTTTAAGGGAAAAATGTACTACTATTTATTAAACAAATAGTGTTAATTAGTATATGTGGCAGTATGTAATTCCATTCTTAATCTCATAAACTGTAACCGCTTTTGTTTTTTTTGAGTTGCTATGTGAACCTACAAGCTAGCACTCTTCTGTTAATCAATTTTTCTGTTTTCTGTCCTACCCATCCCCCCTCTTTTCAACTTTAAGAGCGTATAAATTGATGATGAAAACTTAAACTAAAAGAAATTGTAATGCTTTCATTTTGGATGCGTCAATTTTATAGTATCTCTTCTCTACCACCACTCAAACATTAAAGTATGTTATTATAATCTATAAAACCAATGTAATTTCAAGTAGTCTGCAGCTGATGAGAACCTGTGAAATAGAATGATATCATTCTATACTTCAAATTTCGTCTTCCTTTCTTTATCGAAATTCCATATTAATTTGTTTATTAAATATATCACATGGTGAAACAGTATTATGCACTGTTTTATTTGCAGTATTACCTATTGTTCCTTGGTGAGTCTAAATGGTTTTATTTAATGCCGGGGTGTATGGTATTGTTAAAGTTCATAAGTCAGGATACCCTATTAAACCTATAGTTGATTTTAGAAATTCACCTACTTACGAATTGTCAAAATATTTAGCCATGGTATTAAGCCCCCCGAAAAGCCATTCAAAATCTAGACAAACAAACTCTTATGAACTAAAACATAGATGACACAATTTAAAATTAGATAGTGAGGGAAAAACGGTCAGTTTTGACATTTTCAGGTTATGGACATATATACCGGTAAATATGGCTATAGAGGTAGTCAGAAACGAACACATTTCTGACCAAGAACTTGAACTTAGAACAAAAGTGCCACTAGAGGACATAATGCTAGGAGTGCAGCTATACCTGACTTCCACAGGTAATTTCAAGGAAAAATATACAAGTAAACTGAAGGAGTTGGTATGGGGTGAACAATAATCCCGATTGTGGGAGATATATTCATGGATAGGTAGGAAAAGTTGGCGATTGAAAGATTCAGCCCGCCCCCCCAAAAAAAGTATGGTGGAGGTATGTAGATGACACATTCACTGAACTAAGAACACAGGATATAAACAGAGTTTTCGAACACATTAACTCGAAGGTGGAGGCAATTCAATTCGTATATGAATTGGAAAGTCAGGAACTCAAGGAGCTTCCAATGTTGAATTATAACGTAGAAAGGAAAGAAGATGGGAAGTTAAACACACTAGTGTGTGCTTACAGGAAACCCACACATTCAAACCGATATTTGTTTTTCCGATCATCCCACCCTATGTCAGTGAAAATAAGATTGGTGAAATGTTTAAGTAATAAGGAACAAAAACTTAGCAGTATCAAGGAAAATCTAAGACAGGAAGTGAGGCATATAAGAGAAACTTTGAAACTTAATAATTGCCGTGACACATTAATCAGGAAATATGTAGGAAAATATAAAAGTAAAATAAATAATACTAGTGGTAGTAATATTATTATTATTATTGATGATGACACGCATGTCAAACATGCACAGAATAATGACAACACTGACAATAGGAAATGTAAGTCATCATAAGCACTTCCATACAAATAAGGAACCTCGGAAACCATACGCAGAATTCTTAACAATGCACGGATAGAAGTGGCTGGCATTCAAACCCACAAACTCAATTAGGAACAAGCTTTGTCGGTTAAAGGATCCGGTGGAGTCAATTAAACGAAAAAATTTAGTTCATCTAATACCCTGTGCAATGATTGTCAGAACAAGTACATAGGTCAAACTAGTAGAACAGGTACAGTCAGACTAACCGAGCATAAAATCCTAGCCAAATCTAGATTAGTTGACCTGAATAAGATAGGAAATCTGGAGAGTAGTTCTGCTATATCACTACATACAATTTCACACGATCACACGATAGGGTGAGATATGATGACAGTTTTAGGATCTAATGTCACAGGGTGGAGGGAGATATTAATAACAATGGAAGCTTTGTTTACCGAGTCAATTGCAAACACGTGTATTAGCAGTGATTAAACACCTGTCCACCAGGACACCTGGAAAATTCTACTACCCCTACGACGGCGAATAGGAAAGAATAAAGAAAGCTATAAAACTCAAGTTTCGAAATCGTGTGATTATAATTAATGATATGATTATGAACAGTAAATTTTGCTTGAAACGTCACCCAGTAAATAATACTGTTTCTTCACTGTGTGATATATATAATAAACAACTTAAAATGGAATTAAATATTGTTAAATTAATTCCATATGTCTACTGAAGTTCATATTAGTAGTATATAAACAGACAGTGGTGACTCTATGGATTTATACATCCGTGATTTTTGTTCGTGGGCATATTTCTATTGAGGGCTTAAATGTTGCATGACACGTAGTAGTGAATTGTGTATGGTATGTGTTAAGGCGTTCAACTAATAATTTATATGTCGTTTAACAGTTGGTTTAATATATTTGTTGTTGCTTAAATTATTTTACTCTTAATCATAAGGTCATAGACTCAAAAATATTACTCAACTTAACAAGCTTTAAGCAGCTAATTGGTATGATCAGATATTTATGCATTCATAAGTCATTATGATAGATAAATTATCATTTATCCAATTAAGCATGAAACTTCATACAGGTACAGTTTCATAGTGATGCTATTAAGAGGCTAAATAGACGTTTATGAGTAGGATTTCTCAAATAACAGCGATAAATATAGTTTTTATTACAAATTAAAAGAAAAATACACTGATTATCTTAATTATCTTGAATTTATAGAGGTCATGAAGTTGGTCAGATAATGTGTAAAAGTTTATGTTAGATTAGATTATTTTGATGTGAATACACACTGAAATTGATCGTACTTTTTTTTTCTACTTTCAAGTGGTCTTTCAGGTTTTAGTAGAATTTTACTGGTCACAGAATAGAAGAGGACATTTCACATTGTATTATACTATTTAGTGACGCTGAAATTCACAAAGCACATATCATCTTGGACTAACATGAACTACTGTATCATCGAAAAAACAAACAAAACAAAAAATACTAAACAGATAGTTTGTCTTAGTTCAGAATTCACATCAACAACTTTGATAAGAGCTGAGGTCATTGGAAAAAGTCAGTGTCCAGTTACTTGATAATAACTTTGTCGGGAAATAGCGCAGTTACTCCCCAATGACATTGGCTACATTCATCGCAAACTGTCAGAAGTTGGAATTCATGGGCCACTTTGTCGAGTCCCAGTGGCTGAATGGTCTACGAGCTCGCCTTGTAGCTGGACAGTCCAGGGTTCAAAGTCCCAATGGGTGCGTGTTGATGAAAATTCCCAAACTTGGACGAAACGGCTGTCTAGGATGTCCTGCTAATTTTCCAATGGTTTGCTAACTGATGTCAACTCCTGATCAAAGGTGTTACCAATCAAACCCCTTGAAAACCAACACATCATGGTAACTTTGTGATCAGTTCAAGACTTCGACGCTTTTTAAATTCGCTCAAAATATGAAAATAAATTCAGAAACTGACTTTGTGAAATATTTATTGAAAAATAATGAACGTTTGGTTCCAAAATGTTAAGTATGTAGCTAATCATTCATCAGTGATACTTGATGGCCAAGTGGTAGAATTTAAAAATTATAGGTCTTTAGACTTTGTGTGATTCAGATGTGTTCTTCACGAAACATGAAAGGATCACTTAAACAAAGATGAAGAGTCTTGAATTCTAATGAAATTGCTATCTATTATAGTTTGATCTTCAATAATTCACTGGTCGATTCTAGGTCTCGACGGAATCCACCGTAAAACACAATGGAATCTGAATAAAGTTAACATTTGAAGTGTTGAAATTACTGTATGCTTAGTGGTTAATGGTTTATGATAAACTCGCAGAAGATTATCACAGATTATTCAAATCAATTAAATCTAGGTACAGGAAGTGTATAACTGTTGGATCAAACATGAAGTTAACCACACAGCAATTCTTCTTCCTCCATTTTCTCTAAGTCTAAATTAGGTTTTCTAGTGGTATTTATTTCAATAAATACATCTATGTAATGTGATATTTAAAAATAATAATAGTATTCAGGATTTCATCATGAGCTGACATTAGTTAGAGAACCATTGGAAAACCTGGGAGTACTGGACAGCTGTTTCGTCCTAGTTTGGGACTCTTCAGCAGTACGCACCCACCGGGATTCGAACCCAGGACCTTCCGGTTACAAGGCGAGCTCGTATAATAGTAATGTACATCTAAAGGGACATTACATCAGGTCTCTATCGAGGAAGAGATCAACCCAGAGGATGAAACATATAAAAGATGTTCAAGGGAACCTGATTACCAAGGAGAAGAAAAAAAATAAAACAATGGGCTTATCACTTTTGAAGGACTCTTGAATCGACCACCACCTGCAACGAGTCAAAAATTACCACCACCATCAATAGCACGCACAGAATTGCCTAACAGTGGACACCA